CTACTCTAGGTGATCTGCATGGTGATATCTACTCGCAGGTATAGCTTTAAGCTCGTACATCATAGTTGACGGGTCCCCAGTAGGGGAATATACGCCCTGCAGGATGTGGGTCGTGTGTACACGTGCATTGAAGGCGATCCTTTCTAGTCGAGGCGCAGTCACTCGGGTAGCTATTCGTTCTTTCGTATAGGTGAATTTAGTTCCTGCATTCGTGAGCATGCCTAGATTTGGGCTGGTTCAGCCCAATCTACGAGGCCCTGTGTTGAAACTGGTTCTTTATTCTTCTCGTACTAAATGTATCATCCTGATTTGATTGTTTCTAGCTTACTTGCCTTATTTGCACTCTAGATTACGAATTGACGGGTTTGTCCGGTGGTGGTCAGCAGATAGACAAATTGAAGAAGGCCTATGCCAAGGCAGTGAAATTATTGGTCGATCTGGCCTCCTTACAGACTTCTTTTGTTACTCTTGACAAAGTCATCAAGGTTACCAATCGCCGTGTAAACGCGATTGAACATGGTGGGTCTTGAATGGGGGTGTAAGATAAGCGAGGATTCGCACTTCCCCCAAACGAGCTAACCAATGTGTTTCTGTGTGCCGGTTCAGTGATCATACCACGCCTCGAACGGACGATCGCTCACATCATTCAGGAGCTGGATGAGCGGGAGAGGGAGGAGTTTTACAGGTCAGTTTCATTTGGTTAGCACGTCAAATTTACTGCCATCTCACATTTTGGTTGCTATATGATCAGATGTTTTCTAAGACGACAAATTTAAGATTCTACACGATATTTGCCAACCTTCACCTCGTTGAATTACGTTATGTTTGACTGATTCATTTCCATGGCACTGGGTGTTTCTGACCAGAATTTCGCAAGACTTGAGTTTACCTCCTGTACGTCCATCTAGGGTTTCTCTATTTGTCTGCACTTTTATTGCACAACCCTTATCTGCAATGTCTTTTTGTTGCATATAAGTTGGCCTCATTTCCCTAGCCAGGCTGAAGAAAGTACAAGACCGAAAGAAGCGTCTAAAGGCGCAGCACGACGAGGAACTGCGCCTCGCTCACATTGATCCTCAGGCGATGGAGGATCAGAGTGCGGTTAGGAACCTCCTTGTGGACGACGATGCGGATCAGATTCTTTTCTAATGTGCTTTCGATCGAGGTTGACTAACTTCACTACATTAATGCATAATATTGACTGTTTTTCTTCTCTTCTGGTATGTCCTCGTGCCATTTTACTCGTCTTTGTTGTTCCAAACTTTATTCTCTTGGTCTCCAATTTAACTTGACCTTGGCTGGGTATATACTTTGTCTCCCGTGGCGGTGGAGTCATGGTGGTGGCGCTATTGACGTCTGAGTTAGCTGGCTTCGGCGAAGTCCGGTGGGTCTTATGTGGGGTTGGTGCACGTGGCTGGGAAATGTTTAGTTGTGAGCGACCACAGTTCCATCTGTTCACACACTAAAATCAGTGGAAAATTCGATTAATTTATGTGGGAAGTTATAGTATCTTGGCTTGCAAAACATTAATTTACTTGATTCTTACTATTAATCCAAATAATTTAGAGCGGTAGCTTAACTTTTGAAAATTTAGTGCTGTCATTGGTTAATTTATTTAAGCGCCAAAGTTAATCCACCAATGAGTGGAGGACGCTATTCCTTGCCTATAAATTCTAGTGCTCATCGCTTCGCGCTCACTTGTCGTTCGTGGACCTGCCGTTTGCTGCGTTCTCGGAAATGGTGAGTTTTCTATCAGTTGCTCACTTCTTTAGCGTGAGTGTATCAGTATACATG